AAACACACGAGGATATTTCAGAGGGTTCACCAAAAGGCAGAGCCAAAGATGTTCCAAAATCCACACGTGAGGGTTCATTTTCACGATTAGAGCGTTGGAGATGCCGTTTTCTTTTTTTTATCCATGTTAATCTGGTTTTCACTGTATTATTAAAAGAATGTATATATTTATTTAGATTTTGTGTGGAATGTTGTATATTTTCATATTTATGTATATATGTATAGACATGTATATATGTATATACCGTTGTATATATGGAGTTGGTAACAAAAAATATTACCCTTTGGGATTATTAAAGTATTTCTGATTCTGATTCTGATTCTGAATACATTTTTAACTATTCACAGTGTGGTCGGAGAGTGTGAATCATGTGAGTCAGTCAGTGCTTGAGACTGTTCAGTTGGTTGAGTCAGCTTTGTCTATCAACATATCATCTTCTTCCACACTGCACCTGTAATCAGATAAATGCCGTTTCATCATTATTCATCTGTCAAAAGCTTTAGCACAGAGCGCATTCCTCGAGTTCTCGAGTGATTATAACCATTCTTTTTGTTTGACATACAAAGTGCTGACATGGTTTCCCGTTCAAATTATTTTGAGTGAGTAAAAGTGTGTATTTTTACACTTCCTTTCAGTGGAATCAGTGTTCTACAACATCCTGACAGAATTCAAACAGATACAAACTGTTATACTATGAAACAATCAGGGAAATGATCTGTGACAGATTACTGGGCAAAGGGTGTGTGTGTGCGCACGCATGTGAGTGTGTCGGCGCGCTGCAGCCTGTGTGGTGCCACAGTTGCTCTCACACTGCTCTTCAGCCTGAGGGCCTGCATGTGTGTTAATCACTGAGGTAAGAGAGACTTTATTTTATACAATATGATGCTAATTTTGCAGATATGCATCACTCAGAATGTGGATGACACTTTTGATTGTTTTATTTCTCTGGATAAAACTTGAAACCGATATCTTCCATTTCTGTTTTGACTTAACTCAGAATTGTCAATTAAAGCTGATGATTATTACATTTTTGGTCAAGTGTATCTGAATATTTGTGCAGTTCCTTATTAAATATCTGTTTTTATCTGGCTTAAAAACAGGTTATAAACAGGTTTTGAGACAAAATGCTAATCTTTTACTTAGCATTTCTCCACCTTAATACATACTTTATTACAGATTTAAAAGTGATATTTTAAAAAATGGGGAAAATAATTTGGATATTAAGTATTTGAATGTTTCTTGTTCTTATTTTTCTTGTGTCTATCCCATGTGTTGAGTTAATGAATGGGTACATTTGACATATAGTTAAATGCTTTCTTATTGTTCAAAATGGGACACAGGAGCCCTTATTTAACAATAATAATAGCTTTTACCAGACTCAGACATTTTGCACGCATCCTACACGTGTTTTTGTCAGTCCCTGACAAAGTCCTCCAGCTCTGGTAATCAGTCATTTAGAGTTAAGACTTAAATTTAGGTTCAACAATGAAACACAATCGTGTTTTTGTTATCCGGGGGCACTTTTTTCTGCTCAGACGTCCACGCTGTTTTGGGCAGAAACAGTGCGTTTAGGGCCCCAGCGTGAGGTCCACACGTCGCACCGTAACCATACGTGACGGGGTGGACGATGCTCTGAAGACGACGGGAAAAAAAAAGCCCCTCGGGGCTTTTGGAGTGCACCTCAGCAGAATCAAATCACATTGTCCCGCTTTTTTTTCTGTTTTCCATGCCAGGACAATGGAGAGCCGAAGGGGTCCGTGCTCGCTGCCCACTGTCCGCTGCCCCGACACATTACAGCTCTAATTGAGGCATTGTCTGTCCATTTCTCGCCTTGCCAGAGCCGTTAGGGCCCACGGCGCCCACGGCCCGGAACAAATCCCACATGTCATCTGCACTCAGGTCTGTTTTTATCAAACCGTGTTGATGTGAAAGGGGGCGAGTTTAACCTCGCTTAGTTGTGTTCCCTCTTATCTAACTCCCGTTTTCCAAAAAAATATGATTTGGGTGTTTAGTTCGATTGTGTTTGTTTACCGAGCTCTGAGTCCAAACAAAAAAAATTCAGGTTTCTGCTTCAGCTGCTTTGAAAGAACCGGCTTGGTAGTCACCAGAATAACTTTTATGTTTCAGCAATGGTAAGTAAACTGATATGTAGAAGCTCTTTGGCCTAAATTGCTGGATTCTTTCTGAGACAAAGAAAAGACGCAAAGTTTCCTCAATGTGCTTTGGAGTCTTTGGAGCAAATAAGCCAGGAAAGAAACAGGAAACAAAACCTAACTGCAGAAGATCTGACGGAGCAGAGGCAGATGGGAAACCACTGCTAGTCTTTAGGCAGAGATGAACTGGAGACTGATCACAAAAGTTTCATCCAGAGAAAAAGTCTGTGGGAACAGCTGGGAACTCTGTGGGACTCAATAACCAGAGAAACTTTCAGAAGGGAGAGAAAAACAACCAGAAGAATCATGGAAACTTCCATCCAGAGCAGAAAGATGAAATTTAAGCTGATTCTGAGCGGAAATGGAGCCTTTAGTTGTTTTACAGTTTTTTTACAGGACACACTAACTCATTTGATTTGGCTAAGATTAATTCATGTTCATTTGTCTATCTAGTTTTGGTTTCTTTGCGTCATAAAAAGTCCACACAACAAAATATGGCTAATTTAATTAACCTGATAATTAATTTATTTGTTAAATTTGTCTGCACAATGCATCTAAATAGATTGAATATTTGTATTTGAACATGAGTCAAAATCGATTTTTTAAAAATGCTAAGTCCAAATTATGTCATATATTTGGATTTCTTTTAATAGAAATGACAGAATTTAACATTGAGCTTTTCTAAACAGTAAAAATAAAGAACAATATGCCCTATAGTTTAATACCTGAAGTACCTACTTGTGGCCGTAAAATGCTAAAAGGACCCTCCTTAATGCTTTGTTAGAAATGTTTAAAAGGAGCCGCATGATATGAAGCTTAAACAACACGTCCGTGTCACAGGTCAGCTCTCTCCTGCTGCTGTTTGAGGTCACCAGTAAATGCCAGAGGGGGCAGAGCTCCTCCAGCTGCTAACTGATTCGGACGTGTCTGTATTGTATGGTACAGTGAGACTTCAGCCCACCCTCTGACAGCGGAGGGAGAAAACCCGAGCCTCGACTCTGGGAAAAAACACACAGTTGAACTAACGCCACCGAAAGAGTCCCTTGAGAATTTGGATCTTTAGTAAGCTAGCATTTTTTTTAATTCCCACGTCCAATTTCCACAGATGTCTGTTACATTTAAGGAATCCCGTTTATTTGGTTTGATGGTCGCACTTTTAATTGATGATTTTTAGGAGGCCTTCGATGGGTCAGACCCAGAGGACCATAATGTGCAGACTTATGGGGAAATGAAGAAGTGGCAGGATCAGGGACAAAAACTTCTATATTTCTATGTTTGGGGGGTGAAATATTGTATTTATTCTGTACAGTTCAGGTAAATGTCAGTAACCCTCCCACCCAAAACACATTTTGTGATTCACGTATGTTGTAACTCGGGAAGAAAACGGGTTCAACTGGAAAGGGAAATTCACATAGACTGGATAAATAGTATCAATAAGAGCTTGTTCAATGGTTAATTTGTCCTACAACTCTTCATGGTAAACATAATTTAAACTAAGGTCGGTTTTATTTCAAATAGCTATACTAAAATCATTGATTGTAGACACAGTGAACTTGAGTAAAGTGGGTGAATATGAACCATTTTTAACACCACTTTGTTTTTTCTGTCTTTTGAACAAAGCTCTAATATCTAATATAAAAGCCTCTGACTACAGTCATCTGTGAAGTTTTGATCTCAACTCATTCTCATTCTGCAAAAGAGTTCAGACTTTAGCATAGAGAAAGGACGTATCTCTATCTAGATATGTGTTTTAAAAACTGTAGTTACAATTCCAAAGACCCATATAAAAATGCTTAGAAGATGACAATAAAGGTTTTTCTTTACAGTTCTGCTGTTGTCTATAAAAGCACTAACATCTTCACATATCTGTCTTTTTCCTTTCCCTCTTCTCTTTTGACAGGCTGGGACCGATGAACGCTCCCTATCCAGTATCCGTGTCACATCTCTGTATCAACTGTGTCCTCATGCATGCGTGTATCCGTGTTATGTGGTGCCCATAAACACTTGATTTTGCCTTCAGATTGTTGTTCCTATAAGGTTAATCAACAGAGTTGCGACTCCAGGGCCGTGCAAAGGTCCATGTTGGGTTTAGGAAGAATATTGAGGCGTCTAAATGTGATGTGAGGGGTGAAAAGGGCTTTGTGGGTGTTTCCAGCTCCTCAGGATGACTTGTTAATCTCTGCAGGCAACTGTGATATCATTTGTTTCCTCACAATCACCTGCTGAGATGATCCAGTCATTCTGGTTACCGCTGCTGCAGAAATGATTAAATGGTGCCCCCTGGTGGCCTCTGGAGGTAACTGTTGGTATCGGTTTTTCATCCAATTCAAAGGAAATAGATGGGGGAAAAAATCTAAAACGGGTCCAGCGTTTGATAGGATTGAAGAAAACAACTGTGATCCAGTTAAATCTCAGCTGGCAACTGTGAGCTCAGCCTGCCTCATGGTGCCAGATGAGGTTCACCTGAACATGGTACCATCACAGACCACCACAGATTTCATTCAGACCTAAAATGTGTGGAAAACATGATGTACAGTTGTTCCAATTTAGGATTTTACTCTAAAAAACACATCAACATAACGCTACTAATCAGTAAATTAAACTTCCATTGACTTTTTTTGCCTTCATATCAGGTTAAATAGTTCATTTCTGGCTGCAACAATAGTTTTGAGCTGGCTGGTGACTGTTTCACTTGAGTGAACTAAACCTTTCCCGACTGGTGTGTTTGTTTGGTTGTGTGTCTGCGGTTGAGGGTGACTGTGTATCGGACGTTGATGATACTGCATCAGGAACTGATGAGAGAGTCCAGACAGGCCATCAGTTCTTTATGCAATGCCCTCAGCAGTCGGAGATACTTCAGCAGCTAAACCGGGAGAAGATGTCGTTGCTTAGTCCGCAGTTCAGAAAAAATGATAAAAGGAGTGTTCTAGGATATTAACTTTAATAGATTGTCGAACATATTATGAGTCGATATACTACATATTGATATAAAATCATAAAGAGGTCGATTCACTTCAATTTCATCTAGTACTGAATCATAACAAACGTTAACCTGAGGTACAATACAATTCAGTTTAAGACAGTTACAATTCAATTGATTCTTACACAATTATTATCAAATAAAATAGAAATGAGTCCAATTTAGTCAGAGCCATTAGAGTTTTTTTTTCATCCAGAACTAGTTGTGATCCAATCCTCGATTCGTATCCTGCACGAGACAACTGTGTAAATAAAGAAAAACTCCCTTCTAAGGGCGGCCATATTCCTGGACTGGCTGGAGGTTGAGAGGACAGGAAAGAGGGGACAACCAACGACCATAACACCAGGCCAGAGACGCCTGCTGAGAGAGAGAGAAACACAAATCAATGTCAATAATATATTGACATTATAATATAATATAATATCACACATCATTCATTTCAGTGTAAAGAAGTCTTACATTCTGTTTAATTCACTACAAAATGAATGTTTAGCAATAAAGAGGACGTTTCAGGTAGAGATCATACTGCTTTATTGTTCAAGAACAGAAAGAAAACCTTTTTAAAAAGTCACACTTTATGAAAAAAAAATATCCAAATGTTTCAAAAGGCTAAGACATGTCATATTGGCAATTAATTGATCTCAGCAAGAGGTTCCGGGAACAATTACACAATGTTATGAAATATTTTGCAGTCAGCTCGGTGTTGTGAACTAAAAGTGAGTTCACATTTTCAAATGATGAATGAAAGGACAATTTTATCCATACATGCTGTTTTAAAATGTGTTAAATGGACGAGGATGAATTGGCACAGATAACTTAAGTGCTATTGTAGATAAGTATGTAATTACAAACTATCCTCTTTACAGATTTGTATGAGATGCAAATAGCTGCTTGTTTGTAATGTAGTGTCAAATTTCAAACAGTAAAACAACATCCTTAAGTGGGGTGTTAGGATAAGGGAAATCCAACCTATTTTGGATTTGCCCCACAAACTGTCCAGGACCATCAGGCAGAATTTTTCTTCTCAGCTGTTGGGTCACCAGAGCAGTTTTCCTGTGATGCTGTTGGATCTTTGGACCCCACTTGCTTTAGCTCAATCTGGGCTTCTCCATCTCCATCAGCCTGCAAGTGTCTGAACAGAAAGCGAGGGGGGCAAAAAACTGTCAATTCTCCCTGCAAACAAACACATCTCACAAAGACTTTGTTCAGTCTTGTAGCACTTTCCTGTAGAACCAGGAGCTATTAGCTTGCAGCTAAACAATGAAGCCAAGCTGATTTTAAGGCTAACTGTCGTATATTAAGAAGTAATCCCATCAAAGTAGCTCCTCTTTTTTGTTCCACCGATTCTATTGACAGTAATCTAATGCAACTGTTGTCAGAAATAAGGTAGTCTAGGGAATCCTAAGTCCACTGTTCCTATTTCGAGTTACTGTATATTATTAGATAAATGTCTGAATAGATTTCTGATCTACAATTTAAAATTAGACTCAAGGACAGAGCGAACTGGAAGCAACTTTGAAATGTGTCTTTGATCCGTTCTGATGATCTACTCCAGAATCTGGGGATAAAAAACAAAACACAGAAGCTCCGTTTTCTGTGTATGTACCTTCCTTCCTCCACATCCAAGATGTTTTCAGGCAGTCGGACGTTGAGCGTTTCCGGGAGCAGGAAAACGAAACAGCCGCTGACGATCCCGGTCCCGGCGAAGATGACGGGGGGCAGAGGGAGCCACACATCCTCCAGCAGCATGACCATGGGAGCCAGGGAACTTCCGATTCGACAGAGGCACGACGTGTAGCCTATTCCACACTGCCTGTTCGACAACGGACGAGATTCAACCTTCCCCCGGACTTGGTCTTCATCAGATCACTGTATTTTTGCATCTCTTTCTTGTGTAAAATGAGCCATAGGCCAAAGTTATTTAGGTCAGTGTTTCCCAATCCTGGTCCTCAAGGCACCCTGCCCTGCATGTTTTCCAAGTTTCCCTGCTCCAGCACACCTGATTCTAATGAATGGGACTTTAGCAGCTTTCTGCATAGTTGAAAAGTCGTTCCATTTATTAGAATCAGGTGTGCTGGAGCAGGGAAACTTGGAAAACATGCGGGGCAGGGTGCCTTTGGGACCAGGATTGGGAAACACTGCTTTAGGTGGACGCCTGAGGTTCTTACCTGAGAATGGTTGGGAAGAGTTCCGAAGAGTAGAGGAAGGCAGTGGTGAACGCTGCCTCAGAGAAGCCCTTAGCCACCACGGCAATGCAAGTACGAAGCACAGAGAACTCTGTGAGAGAAACAGAACAAGATCTTAGAAAAAGCAAACATCTTGGCGCAACACGGTTGGGTTCTCTAAGCGTTCGAGTATATGTGAAGGAATACAGGCGAACCTAAAGGTATGGCCGTGTTGATCCCAATCAGAGCTCCGGTCGTGATCAGAAACCACGCCTGACCGTTCCGTCGCCCTGTGCAGTCCAGGACAAAGAAGGTGAGGATTTTGGCCGGGGCTTCGATGGCACCGTAGATGAACTGAGTGAGGTAGATGCTGACCCCGAACCCGGAGATTTTGAAACTGATCCCGTAGTATAGAAAGGCGACGGCGAACCTGACGGCGCAACAGAACGTTCAGAACAAAAACACCTGTAAATATGCTCAAAGGACAATGCTTCTGAAATGGTGATGGGGTACCAGAACAATCCAGAACAGAGGGTGATCTTCCTGAGCTGAGGGGTTTTGACCAGATCCAGGTAGGTGTGGTTCTTTTCCGCAACTTCAGACACCGTTACCTTCCTCAGAACCTGAAATAACCACACAATGTGACCAACAGGGCAACGTGTTGACTTCATAGCCACCAGAACAATTAGGAGTGTCGGTCAGGGCAAAAGTGAGCCAAAAAGACACAAAATCCTTCAATACAGACATACAAAAACTAGTACTTCCGCATTTCTTCAGTATTTTTTTTTTAGGGTAATTTACGATTTTACACTTTAATCTGTTCATTTTCAAGAGTACACAAGACTGAACAATGATCAGCCCAATCTTCATCCACTTCCTGTTAACATATATCAAATTTGGTCAGTTGGAACAACACACATTTAGTAAAATGGAGCCATTTTAGTGTTAAAGTCTTCTCCCAATGCAGCAGTTTCGAATGTAGACGGGACATGCAAGGTTTCCCGAGGTAGTGGCTTCTGTTGAATGATTTGTAATGTTTTCAACTATATATTGTATCTTTTAGTCTGTTTTTAATACTCATCTTCAGTTTCCTAAACTTAACAAGTAGTCTACAGGCAGGTAATGTAATTTGGCACTATATTTTACCAATAACGTCCTTCCACAGTCAGAGTTATGTGGAGATGAGGCAGTTCTAGAGTGAAGTTTTCCAGTTTTCCGTTGTTCATTATTACCAGTGAAGCATGATATCTGGTAGCATGAAGCTATACAACAAGTTTCTGTGTGTCAAAGGTGACAGTAAAGCTATCCCTACTGTTAAAAACTAATGCTAAACTATTGACCAAGCAGTGGTATGAAAGGGGTTTGATCCCATTTATGAAATCATTATTTCACTCTTCATATTATAATCAATTCTAAAAGTTAAGAATAGAATTGTAGTTTGACTATGACTATGACTTATGCATAAGGATTATTTATCTGAATGGGATTAAATCCTGGTCAGAAAATGGTTAAGCTGAAAGAAAGAGAAACCTTAACTTTTTCAGGGTGTGAATTTGATTTAAAAAGTAAGAGATGGAGTAATGAGTAGGAAGTGAAACAAAAATGTGTCAGAATGTATTTTAACCTATCAGAAGGTATTTATTACACCCTCATACTATTATGACTGGTCATTATTATATTTACGTATTAAACTATTTTACAGTAAAATAGAAGCTCTGCAGTTGTCGGTTTCATCAGAGATTGACACATACAGATCAACAAGGAAATGATTTGAGTCATTTTCCTCTTTATTTCTGGATCCCTGATAAATTCTTTGTGGCCTGCACGAAGACCAGTGCTAAATCCATCAGGTAAAGAAAGTATCAGACACAGTGTATATGTCATGTAATATACATTTACGTTTAGTTGTTTTAAGCATTTTGTTGCCTTTGATGTTGTAATCATTATTACAACTTGTGTTAATTCTGCTTTTAATAAGAACCAATGACAAAAAATGTTGAGATGAATCTAAGATTTTGAAGACGGTGAAAATATAGATAAAACTGTAGCGGCAATTCGGGCATCTTGAGTGTCCTCTGAACCACAGTGAGTAAGCTGTACCTCAGTGTCCAGTTTGGGCGTGTTTTCATCCTTTCTATTTATTTTAGCGCATTCAACCAGATACTTCTTGGCTTTCTCGGTTTTGCCGTTGACCAGCAACCATCGGGCTGATTCTGGCAGCCACCTAAAGACAAGAAATTGGTTTCCATAAACACACAAAAAAGCAATCTGTTACTGGTGCGAGGGGCCGAACGGTCACCTTACCACCAGGAAATGATGGAAATAATGCAGGGCGCCGTCACGGCCAGCGTCAGGTGCCTCCAGTCTCGGATGAAGTAGGCCAGCAGGGCCAGAAGCATGTTTCCCACGCTCCACGACAAGCTCATGATCGTACCAGTGAAGGTCCGGTGCTTTATGTCCGTCCACTCGATACCTGAGCAGGAGTTGAGGTCAAAGGTAACGCGTTACAAAGGAGTACCCAAAAGCTTTTAGTACATTTTAAAAGTCTAAAATGATTCATGCCAGTGAACTGAATTGGAAAGCTAACCAATACTGTTTGATTCTCAGTCAGGAGACTCCTGTTGGACAGCACAAGCTTCTGGTTTAGTTTTTTTTTAACTTCCAACTGCCAAAACCAAATACCAGTGATAGGATTTACAAAAGCTGATCAATCTCATCAATCAGAGTTGTAAGAGAGGTTCAGAAAAAAGTAAAAAATGAACAATGAATAAACAAGCATTACAAATGTGGATTTGGATTCAAAGATTTTTGTAGATGCAGCTTTTACCCAGCACCACCCCGATGATGGACAGCCCACTGAGGGCCATTCCGCACAGCGTTCTGGACACGGCAAACATGACGTAGGAGGTGGAGAAGGCGGAGGCGGCTCCCAGCACGGTGGTGGCAACCAAAGCCACCAGGAGCATCGACTTCCGACCAAACCTGCATCACACAGACACAAAATGGTCATCGTCGCTTACAAAACAGGGCCTTACCACCACACTGTCCAGTCCCAATATTTAGTGCATTTTATAGTGTGTTTATGCACAACTCTGGTTTGAGGAAAAGGGAATTTATTATTTGAAAGACCATGTCTAAAGACATTATGAAGCTTTGTATTTGAACCCTCCTCGGTCAGACAAAAATGAATCCAAACCTCGACCACATCACAAGGGAGTCAGCAGTTCTAAGACGAGCAGAGAGAGAGAAGAGCTGCGTCTGTGTGTTTGGTCATGTGAGGTCGGAGTTGACATTTTAGGGGTTAAGCTGTTCATTGTACACACTCGTGAGTACAAACACACACGGACGAGGTTTGATTACCAGAGTAGCAGATGACTTTCTGCCAAATTTGCTAATGAAAAGATAAATCGCATGGAAAATGTGTGGTAATTTAATATGGAAACGAGACGAAGTGTGGGGAGAAGTATGTGTTTTGAAATAGATAAACAATAAAGGAATTCTAATTCTAAAAAAAGTGTCATAAACAAACTCTGACGCTTCAAGTCATGGCTTCCCAATGACACATGCAGCTGACAGCACACCTCAAAGCGAGAAATTAATTTTCTAACCTAATCTATGGTAAATCTGAATGTTTTTAATTTATAATAACATTTCTTGATTAGAACCTAAGTAATATATTAAATCGAAGGTATTACATAGGCATTGTTGAACTCTAAAATTGCTGCTTTTTTGAGGAACTTATACTATAATTAATTACAATTTTTAAAAAAAATGGCAAAAGGATATAGCCCAAAAGTAGGAACAAGACGAACAAAAAAATCGATATATATGAAATACTAATAAAAGTAAAACAAAACAACATAAAATGTTGTGACTTATTCACCACAAAGAATTTTTGAACAGCAAAAAAAAACAGTCAGACACCATTTAAAGTGTACTCAGATAACAAATTGTGTAATAAATCTTTAGGCAGTTATCTTTATCTTACATACATCTTTATGTATGAATCGATGTACAAATCTATCTATTCTATAATGGCTGAATTAATTTCAGGGTCAGAGGAAGGCTGGAGCCTAACCCAGGTAGGACACACTTTGGATGGGTCCAGGTCAACAGTGTCTATCCCACTCAAACGGTCATTCAAACACTTTTTGTTTTTCTTTTCTTTTTGTTTTGAGTCCAACTCATCTGTGTGCTGATTCTGACTGGTACCTTCAACACTGAACCATCAACAGGGAAACAACATAAGAATCTGTTTGGGAAAATGCACGGTAGCTGTTTCATAATCCTAGATAGCAATGGCACCTAAGAGGTAAAACCAAACTAATGATGTTCTCTAACGGGATACAAAAAGAACCGACGTATTGAGTCACAATTTGAGACCTCAAGTATTTATAAAAATCTATTCATGAATGTATAATGAGAGAAAAAACTACTTGGATTTGTGATTTAAGGCAGTGATTTCCAACCTGTGGCAAAAGTCCCACTAGTGGAACCTGAAGGTATTAAAACAATTAACCCAAATCATTAAAACAATTAATCAATGCAATGCTCATTATCTATTTTCTCAAATTAGGTCATAATCAGCCTTAAGTGATATGAATAAACATATTAGATCATTAAATCCAAAATGATACATAATGATATAAATGATAATGATATAAATATTAACCCCTCTCATCATTTTGTGTGTGTGAGTGTCTGACTCCAGAATAAATTAGTAATGTTTTTGTCTGAACGAAACCGTGTTCACGGTTAAAGGGAGAGAGTTGGAAGTGTTCTATTGAGTAAATGTGTTGCTTCTTTTTTGGTGGTATTTTACAGAATGCCATCAGAACATGGAAAAAAAACTTGTTTGGTTGTTATTGTCAGGAAATATGAATTATTCATCATATCCAAAACATATATTCAGTTTGAGCAGCAATTAGTTTCCTTTTGAAGCTTTTAAATTTTGCATAGAAAGTCATGCGACATACAGATAAAACCTTAAAATTGGAACTCTTACCAACACATTTCTCTCATTACCTCTCTGCTTCCATAATTAATAGAAATGGTTCATTTCTAACTGTGCTTCAGATGGAGAAAAGGTCATATTACATCAGCTTATTACACCAGGCATGAGCGTTCACATGAGGAAATATTTTTACTTTAATTTCATAAGACAAAAACTGTATTATTCGACCATCCTCATTCTAAGAAAGACAACTGTAACAATGCAATTGTCAACATAATCTGAGAAAGTCACACAATCTAAAAAATATCAAAGCACATCAAATCGATCCATGCAGGCCACATGGATTAATGGATTCCAAAACTGTGAAACACAACGCTGAAATCATTCACACTGCTTCCACACACAGGGTCAAAGAGTGGCTGCTCCCCCCCCCATACACGATTTCATTCATATGGCTCATTGGCTAAATGAGACACATTTGAAAATATGAAAATAAAACTACTCCGAATGAACGCCGAGGACCTCACTTGTCAGAGAGCTGTCCAAACACGATGGCTCCAAACGTGACCCCGAGGAAGAAGTAGGTGGCCAGAGCTTGATTCAGATGTTTGTCGCCACACACCAGGTCCCACTGCAATTACATGAACGGGTAAAAACACGGTGGTCAGGGTTTTCACATTGATTTTGGACCAAAGATGGATCGTTCTCATCCGCGTTATGGCGTCTGATTGTGGTTTAGTTTTTAACGGAGACTTACCAAAAGTCCTGCTGAACCACGTACAGTTCACAAAAGATGCCTTTGAGTGTTTCAGATCTATTTGTCATGTTTTTAAGAAGCCTGTTGAGCACTGACTCATGACAAATGCAGACAATCAATGAAAAAACTCCATGATAAGCCAAAAGAATAGAAAAACCACATGTGACTGACAAGTGATATATTTTCACCGAAATGAAATTTCTGTGTGGAACATTGCGGCAGGTTGTATCAGAATCAGAAATACTTTAATAATCCCAGAGGGAAATTATTTGATCTATTATTATATTTATTGTAATAACTAATTAAATCATAAAAACATCGGTCAGTTGGTCAACAGTCATCTGTGGGTCCAAGAAAACAAACTTTCTGGTGGAAAGAAATTCATAGATTTAATTCAGTTTATCATATCATTCTTCTATTTATTTTTTATTTTTATTACCTCCGAGGCAGTTGTGGAGCTGAACTGTGATTGGTCGTAGACCCATCCATTGGGACAGACTATGCTCCTGTTTGCTTGGCTCTGGTTGCTGGAATCGTAGATCCTGCAGGAGCTGAAGGAACCGTCCTTGTCTTGCGGGATCCTGAGGCCCAGCGTCTCCGGGTCGAGCCCCCAGCCTCCCCCCCCGTCCCCGTCCCCTTCCCCTTCCCCCGGGCTCCCGAGGGAGCAGCGGTGCGGCGGGACGTCGGAGATGAAGTTGTGCAGCAGGAAGTGGAGGGCCAGGATGGCCCGGGGCAGGCAGAGGATGGTCAGGAGCAGGAACTGGAAGGTGGAAAAGCCGCCGATCTCGTCCAAGATCTCCTCGAACCTCATCCTGAGTTCCTCTGTTCAAGGTTGTGTACTGGATACTCACACTACCGCTCCTCATCTAAATCTCCGTGTCCTCACTCCGTCTCCAGCTTAAAACAAATACCTCTTTCCAACTGAATGGAAACCACAGTCAGAGGGAGGTGCTTACTCCCTGTAAACTACGTGCCTTGGATATTTCTATCTCCACATCCTCACGAAAAGAAGTGGTCTCCCTTCACATTTTCAGACGTGATTGGTCAATAAATCTGGGCCTTTTTGTATCAGATATGGACCAATTACTCTGGAGTTTGTGGTTTTAAAACACGTGGCCCTTTTTTTGGCATCACATATTTTGTGCTTGGGTTGAATTAGCTCTGATTCCACAAATGTGTGTGTCTGGGGGGGGGGTGGAGAAGGCCCAAGGGTGCAGATACAGACCACAGGGGAGTGGAAACAGACTTATGAAATCAGATCAAAAGCCGCAGTTAAGGCAGATTACCGATTGATTTGACTCGTCTATTTAGCAGAAACCTCTACCCAAAGTGACCTACAACACACAACGTTGCAATTAAGGTAGGTTTGGGGTAGCATACGGGATCTTTTCAGGATTCGGAGCCCCCCAGAGCCGCTATTCCAAATCCAGTAGTTTTCACCACTGCGGCATCCAGCCACTCCAAGAATCCCAAATTACACGGAGTGTAAGCGAAAGCTAGACTGGTGTTGTGGCGCGCCTCAGGGTGATGATAGGATGCAGCTGCAGTCCGAAGACCACAGAGAACAACAAGGGACTCGAGAGGAAGGGATCCACGAAGGAAAAACAACTACACAGACGGAAAACAAACACTCAAGACCAAAGTTTTGAGAAACCGAAAGCATGGGGCATGAAACGATTAACAAGGAATGAACGAAGCAGAGAGCTTATTTAGAGAGGAGAGTGAGACGTGAAGGCAGGAATATCTGAACTTGAACTGTGGCACAGAAAAAGCTGGCAACAAAGAGGAACTGGGAAGAGACTGGATTAAAAGGGCAGGGAACAGAGAACGTAAAAGGAAAGGAAGGACTCACAAAGAATCTAACGCCATAAAACTCACAATGCAAAAACACAATTCAGATGGCAGAAAATGACCTAAACAAATGGGGAAAAGTCAAAACTTGGGACAAATAACAGAAGACAAGCCAAAAATCCATGACTCATAACGATTTAGATAAGACAGTCATCCGATTCCAGCATTCTCCATCCCACCATCGGAGGGATTACTAATTTCTCCGGTCTCACACTTGGTACATCATGAAAATCAAGAAGTGTGGGAAAGGCCTTCCCTCAGCGATACTCCCAAATAACCTCCCTACAGAGGGCACCAAGAGGGATGCTATTTAGAGCCTCAACCTCCTCCATCACCCAAAGGTTTGCAAGAAATTAACAATCATTCTTAAGAATCGCTTAAGCTTAATTAATAAACACAAAATGAACTTTACTCTCAGAATGTAAATCAGTGTCTTTCCCTCCAGGAAACAGCATCATTATCAAGGATTTAAGGTTGAAAGATAGTTAAGAGTTTTTTAAAAAGATGGAGAGCATTTTATAAAAAGAAAATTCCACAAATAGGAGACAGTAGTAGAGACCAAGTGGGAGACAAGAGTTTCAAGGAATAGCACAATGGAAAAAAAACAACGAAAGTTTCTGAAATGAAGCAGTATGATGCCTAATTTCAAAGTTAAAACACTCAACAAGGTACTTTATATGTAAACTGAGGAAGTTGTGGATCAGTGGAACCCTTCAGATTTAAAGGCCTCTACTTAAACTCCAAGTCTTCCTTCAGTTGTAACAAAAGACTTTTAAAAAAGGGGGAAATAGCACAGCGTGTCTGGTGAAAATGGAAGAAACAAGCCAGAAATCATAAACAATGACAGTGATCATCTGTATCTAATCAATTTCTCTAAAAAAAAAAAAAAGAAAAAAAAAACTTCCATCTTTGTCGATGGGGGAGAATCTCATGATTTTGGTCACAAACTTTAAACAAACTTGAATAAGTCATATAAGATTTTTTCCTCCTTTGCTGTATTACATCACACGAGGATAATTAATCATTGGCTGTAATATTAGGAACATATCAAATGTAAATTAAGAAAAGTAACAGAGTTACTCGATAACTGATCTTTATTTAGATGTGCGTACTAAGTTAGAGACATCCTCTTTACTTTTTTTTTTGCCATCAGCCGTCTCAAAACCTTCCGTTCTTTCGAGGATATGTATAAAACATCAGATAATGTAATTCAAACTATGTTTGAATGTACTTGAATGAGTTTTACTCTATGGGAGATTCTTCTCCTATACTTTTACTTATAATTACTTTTATTTATAATTATTGTGTGTTCATTTTGTTACTTGTAGCTCTGTGAAGAGGATGTTTGGATTCCATGATCTCAGCTATTAATACAGTTTTCGTCTTTTTACATATAATGAGATCAGTTTTATTTTTGTTCTGACATATTACGCTGAAAAAAAGCCCCCATAGGCACCAGGAACTCTACAACCAACCCAATTAGGAGTTGATCTAAAGCATTGTATTTTGGTTTCTTTGGCTTCTTTCCCTGGTCTACTCACAGATGTGGTGCACCAAAATATCTCTGGTTAAATTCTGTTACTTTGTTTGCTTGTCTTCTCACCATGTGTGTCATCCCCCTGGCGTTTTATTTTATTTATTTATTTATTTATTTATTTATTTATTTATTTATTTATTTATTTATTTATTTATTTATTTATTTATTTATTTATCTATTTATTTATTTATTTATTTTTTCATTTTTTTATTTATTATTTATTTATTTTTTTATTTTTTCCATGTTTAATCTGACCTGTAAGGGCACTCTGAGCAAAAAAAAAGAAAAAAAAGAAAGCAGGCCAGTGTCGCCACCTGGTGGTGTCTGACCGTCGGTGCGCCTTCGCATCCTCAGCTGTCCCCCACTTTTTCATCTCTGAGCAGTTTCATCATCTCGTGTCGTTTTTCTGCGACACAGATTTCACGTTTTTTTTGTGTGTGTGTGGTTTCATCGTGTGTTGAGATACTGCTTTTGCGTTGGGTCAGGATGTGGTGCGTTTGTCATACAGGAAAAAAATAAAATAAATGTGTTATCATCCAATAATCGGGGAGAGGAGGTAAGATGTACGAAATGATTAGACAATATTGTAGTTAATTCGTTGTAGGTTTTGGTCAAATCAGTTCTGGGGTGGGACTTTACATCGCTCTATAGGAGACTTGAAGGAGAGAGTGGGAGGATGTGTCAGTGAACCCAAAGGTGGTTTATTTGAAAAGATGTGTCACTTTGTTAAGAAAACCATAAACGTCTGCAGCTGTGATGGTGTCACAAAATACGCACCCTGAGGCCCGAAGCCGGTTTCTGTGCCACTCACATCTATCCATCTCCAGTCACATCTCCAGTTTTTAGTTGTTTTTAACAAAGTGGACTATGGCTACTGGACCATGATGTGGTCAAATCGGCTGCTTCAGTGATAGCCAAAACAGCCATTGTGTGCAGTGAAACTGGACACTGGTGGTAAGAAGTGTAAAGCTTAGGCAAACATTTTTTTACGGAAGAACCATGAATGCTACTTACAATGCCTTCTACCTAAAGCCCAGCCTCTATCTAAACAGCTTCTTCATGACACAGGATTTGTATGACTTGGTAAGAGTAAAAAGCTGGTCTCATGTGCTTTAAAAATCAAATATGAGAATTTAGAAGAGATAAAAATACAAAGTAAACCAGTTAAAATCTGACTGAACACCGTGTTACGCAACCCTATTTTGACTTCAAGGACTGATACCTGGGCTGTGTGCACGGTTATGAAATCGTCACAGTTTCGTATTCACGAATCGAAAGAAAAAAACATTCTCAAGAGCATTTCCTGAGTTGGTTTGAAATTGGCGCAACTGTTGTGATGCTGGTGTGGAGTCTGACAGGTGTGTCGACACTCCGGTGACCTGACCTCCATGCAGAGGAAACACCTGGAGAGAAATAACTGACTGCCCCAAATACAGCATCGGGAACAACTCTCATTCAGTTCTTACTGTTTTTAACAGCTCTTTTGTGTTTTTTTAACCAGGAAATAGAAACTCTGTTAGTTGTTTTTATGCACAAATGAACTGGCCAAGGTAGCCAAGGTAGCTAAGCTGGAAAAAAAACCCAACGATACACATCCATCCATCCTTTTTCCATACGCGCTCCATCTAATTAGAAGATTCATGGCAACAGAATGGTGAAATACAGCATTTTAAACCAGAGAGACCTGCTTATATCGTGCTTCTGACTTCATGTGACCAGCTCCCTCAGAGCTAGCAGCCGTCCAGCACATTCAGGAGAAGTTCTGTGGTCATCTCTTGAATGTTCTCTTTGTTCCAGGTGGTGGCAGAACGTGGGAATTCTCAGAGAGTCGTTTACATGATGACGAAAGGTTCTTTTTTAAGGAAAATGTTCAATTGAATGGCATCCAATTTAGAAAAAAAGGCAACCTTTGGTGGAAGCAACATCATAGTTAGCATCAGAGCTAACAATCAGTCTCTGTTAGAGTGGGAGTGTCAAATTCGGGCCCTCGTGTCCCACACGTTTCTGACTTTTTTTTCTGCTTTTGCACACCTGGTTCGGATTACGATGGACCTCCTCTGGACACTCGGCTTTTCTCAGGCTTGGCTCATGGCACACTGACGTGAGTCAGGTATGTTGGGACCGAAAATCCTGGAGGCCTGGAGTCCGACAGCCCCGGTGTAGAGACAGAGGGAAGTACACGCTGAGCAGCAGAGGTAGCAGAGTACGGGTCAAGACGACCCGCTCATAGTCTTCTGACCACCATCCTGGACCACACATGAAAAGAGTCTGGGTTGATTTAAGCTTTGTGCTGGCTCAGCTAGGAGACAATCCAATAACACTCCCAGATCTTTATATTCAATCCATCCATCCATTATCCTAACCGCTTATACGCTAACAGGGTCGCTATCCCAGTAGTCAATGGTCAGGGTACACCCTGGAAGATCCACCAGTCCATCGCAGGGCTACACAGAGACACACAACCAGTCACACTCACTCCTAAGGGCCATTTGGAATGTCCAATCGACCTCACATGCAGGTTTTGGGACAGTGGGAGGAAGAACCCAGAGAGAACCCAACAAGTCCACACAGAAAGGTCCTGGTTCCCCCGAGAACTCGAACCCAGAACCTTTGCCCACTGGTAAGTTTATCTCACTGCCATGTTTCAGCCACAGTTATACAATCTAAAGCAGTGATATGTATAATTATATATATTTCTCTCAGATTTTCCATTTTCTGAGCCATCAAAGTTTCTGATTTTTTTGTTCAAGTGCAGGTTCAGCACAAACTTTAGCTGGTTTTCCATCATTTGATCATGTTTTTTTGTGTGCGTATGTGTGTGTGTGTGTGGGGGGGGGACTTTGCAGATGTGTTACATGCATGTATACATCATTTGATAAATATAATTTCACTCAGCTTCCCCTGAAGTCAGTAACAGGAGTTTGATTGTTCTTAATTTTGGCACCAGGCTGTGGCCGAAACCTAAAAGTAAAAGACTCATAAAAATGGACGGAGTGAGAAGTCCTTCTATTTTTAGCAGCTTCGTAGAAAAACAACCACAGTCTGCATAGAGAGAGAGAGAGAGCGATAGAAAGAGAGAGAGAGACAGAGAGAGATAGAGAGAGAGAGAGACGGGTCTAGCAGGTGTCATCGTCTCTTCCTCGTTTTAATCGAAAAATCTCCAATTTTTGCATTTCGCCCGTGATGGAGGACAAGGATGAAGAAGGAGGAGGAGGAGGAGGAGGAGGAGGATACCACCGGGCGGCCAAACGGCTGCGGACGGAGGAGAAGAGCGGCGTGAGGGAGCTGGAGGACGGAGAGGAGGATGAGGATGAGGAGGAGGAGGAGGAGGAGGAGGAGGACTCGGCCAGTGAGGAGGCGGCGGGGAGCGGACGCACCGAGGGCAGGAACCGGAGGAGCGCGGGGAAGGTGAGCCACGACGTTAATCTGATGAAAATGGGTCCAGATCTGTTCCATTTAGAGCATCCCCTGGCCAGAAGTGTTCAAATCCCCCCTTCATTTAAAAAAAAAAAGGTTCCCCATCGGCCACGTTCATCACTCATTTTCCTCCCTGTTGACAGCCCTCATGTGTCTAAAAAAAAAGGATGGAATCACCCACCATAAAGATGTCAGATCACTGTTTTTTTTTTTTCAAATCTTTCTATTTTTGTTAATATTCTCCCACATCTGCAGCCAGGGCCTGAAGGTTGAGAGTTTTTTCTGTTGTCAGAGTTAAGGCTCATTATCGTGTCAGAATCCTGTTCTGGTTCTAAAATGCTCTCACACAGGGCTGAATCTCAGACAGTGGAAAAAGGGCGATTAAAGATTTAATTTAGAGTTTTTTTTTCCTCCTTCTTTTTTAGTTTGTGTTTAATTGCGCAAATAAAACGACTTAAAAGCCCCTTAAATCTAACAGCTGCCTCTTTTGGACCCTCTGGCTCTCCGTCAGGCTCCACAGACTCTGTTTACATGTGGTCTGAATCCCCAAAGAGACCCTGATGTCCAGTCTGACGGCGATCATACACAGCAGTGGTTGTGACTTACATCATCCCCAGTTCCAAAAATAATGTCTGTATCATATCTGGTTATCTGATTTTTGCTAGTCGTCCATATAAAGTCTTCACCAGTGACCAGAATCGGTACTCTCTCTCTCTCTGTTAAAAGGAGAGTTTCCAAGCCAGATGACCAAATCTGATCCACCTGATCTGGGCGAACGATTTCATTTTCGGCCATTTGTTTCCAAAAGCAGAGAAGGAAGGAAAAAAAAGAGCCCCCTTCCACATGAATACTGCAATTACGGCTTAATGGCAAAGGGCCGAACGGCACAGACCGAATGATGGAGGCCGGCCTTTTCCCTTCTGCTGACAGGAGGGCTTAGTGCTGCACCTGTGATTTGAAGTGCCGACTGCAAACTGCTGCAAAAAAAACCAGAGTACAGAGTTGGTTTCATTTGCTAAAACACGGGCCTTTGCGTGGCATTTTAAATTGAGATCAGTTTGAGTGTAACACGTTGAATGTAACGCGTCAAATCTGGAAGGGATAGTTGAATCGTTTAGTTGGGTGTTTTGTTTTTTTGGGGGAGAGCGAGATTCAGCGTGCTTTCAGTCAGGCCGGGCCCCGACAGGAAGCGCCTGCCACCCGGCAGGAAGCGAGGCCATCTGCCTGCCTCCATCATCGGACCCGATCTTCCACGGTAAAAGCCACGAGCAGAGCTCACCCCAAAAAAGGCCGAACGCCAGACCAAAATGGAAATAAACCAAGAAGCAAAGAGTGTTGAAAAAGGTCAAATGGAAGAGCTGTGGAGAGCTTATAAGAATCAATAACAGGAGTTTGTCTTATGTCCTGTGACTGTGATGGACCTGCCACCCATCCAGGCAATACCCTCCCCCCCCCCCCCAAACTGGATTAAGCTGGTATAGGAAAACGAATGGGTGGAATATTTCATCCATCCATCCGGTTTTTTTATCTCTGTTTATTCCGAGGAGGGACTGGAGGCTGGGGCCTGGACCCCCACATCAGTTATCATTTGTTCTTCAGCCCCTCCATCACACAACTCTTGTTCCCCCTTCTGCCTTTTTTTTATAACCCCCCTTATGGTCCATTTCCCACATAGATATGTTTTTCAACCTATTTTTTCTGGGCCTCTTAGCTTATTTCCTTATGTATTTCGTTGACCGGACCTGAGACAGTCAAGCTCCTCAATGCTGGAAATTGTGGTTAAAAAAATCTAGACTACAATAAGAAAAATTTAAAAACCCGCTAACCTGAAGGGCAGTGCTGATTTTCTTTTTGTGTTATAATCTCAAAAGGTAAATTGTTCGCAAAAAATTGTTCCTGTGCGGGCTGCCGAGGACCCTGACTGGTGGACATTTTTTCAGATGATGATACATATACTATTTTTAAGTTTTAAGTGGTTTCGGTGTGCTGCTCTCTGTGAGAACCCAGCACTGCAAGTAGGTCTCTTTGAAGGCACGGCAGATTAAGGTCTGATGAAGACGTTCGAACGGTTTGAGACGTAAAAATGCTTTCACTTTTTTTCCAAAGTGAGGGAAGCTGAGGAAGGGGCTCGATGGGAATTTAGACACTCTTGAAGGTTTTTAAGGTCCGTCCAGGTGCTAAACTATCCCCATTCCTCATCCACACACTTTACTTAACAGGCAGCAACTCATGACTTTCAACATTTTGCTTTTTTGCAAAGATGAGAGTGTTTTACTTGGTCTTGTTGAGGTATAATGGAAGCCATTACGAAACTATTCTTCAGTTCTTGAAAATGTTTCTTTTGCTTCCTTAGGGGGATAGCAATCCCACTTTAGTGTTCAGGAAAAGGACTTTCAAATTGAGCAAAGCCCAGAAATCTGTAGGATTCTTAGAGTTTGCTGGTGCTTGAACCTCCCAGTGATCGGCCTTATTCTGTCCACGTTGGATAACGTATCCCAAAAGCTGCGATAGGTAGGTTGGGCAGTCAGAAACCGAGCACTTGGTGGGACGCTGGAAGAAGAAAAACAGAATAAAACAGCTAACTAAAGAGCAAGAAGTGACAGAAGATTAAAAAAAAAGTGAACTTGTAAGCAGGGAATCAAACACCAGCTGGGGTGCGTTGACTATGACCCTTATGGTGGTGCGTTCAAGTGCATTTGGCTTTAGAGTTTGCAACAATCCAACCTTTTTTGGAGAAATAAAAGAGACGACAGTTCAAGTAGATGATCAGAAAAGTGGTGAAACAGACCCAAATCTGAAGCATTCACTAAACGTCCCATTAGATGGAATACTTCTCTACATCCCCATATTGTCTTCTTTTAATTTGAGTGTCTACAAAAGGAAATCCCAACGCAAGTCAGGTCTTGTCTTAAAGGAATCAACCACAGGGGAATAGAATCAGTCAGTCCTAACATAAACTTAACATAACAAGTCCTTAACAACAGCTGGTAATAACTTTACGCGACAATAGGAAGTGAATAAAACACCTTCGATTTATTTATTTTTTCCATTTCTGAACAAATTCAACACGTGGAGTCCAACTAACTTGTTGACCTGATTTCTGAATCCTAAAGGAACACAGATTTTTTAGCCATGGCTTAACAAGGTGCAGTCAGTCAAAGATGCCCTCTCACTCTGGAATTGTACCTGAGCTGTTTTACTTTTTTCCCCTGTTACCTTCATGTGTTTAAGGGGGCTTCAGGGCAGAGCTGGTCTGAGCTGACCTATTTTGATTTGATTATTTAGATGGATTATTCCCAAATCAGTTCTTCTTCTGACCTTCCGTTCCCATCTTGGAGGAGACAGAGTTGTCAGAGAACTTCTGCAGGAGGCTGGGTGATGTAACTTACTGTGTCTGTGGTAAAGATTATTCATAGAATCACTCGTAACTTTTTCATCCGGCAACTAATCATCATCCTAATTTAGTTGTACTTCAGAAAAGAGAAGAGAAAAGTTATTTCCTTTGCGATCAAGTCATTTACAAGTCATTGCTGGCGAGAGTTCCTTAATTCTAATGAAATGCTCGTCCTTTATCAGTTCTTTTTTTAGCTCGTGTGCTAAAGAATGAGGAGCCATTCTGCCTATCTTTAGGCATCTGTAGATCTGTAGATCTTTCATTAGATTTGTCTATGATGCAATCTGATGAATCTAAAGTTCCTTTCGTTATCAAAGCAGCATAAAAAGCTTGGAATTTGCACAAAAGTGAGACTAAACGTAGAACTATAAATGCTTAAGTTATTGAACCTGCAGCGGGGTTTATTACTAACGTTACCAAACTAAAGGTGAGGTCAATTTGGGCACTTTAGAAATAAATAAATGCTTTTCCATGTGGTAGTCTGAGAACGGATTTCTGTGAGAGTGGGATTGCTCTGTCTGTCCATGTGCTAGATATAGTCCGTCATTTAAATATACCATGCTTCAATGCTTACTGAGTTTATTTGCATCAAACTTTGTCTTTATCTGATGATGCAAAACTGTCCGGCTAATCTCAAATTAAGGCTAAACGTAATGCATTCTCTTTCCTAAAATCCAATAAATGCAGTATCATCTGTTAAAGATGAGTTTGCTGTACATTTCCCCCCAAATATGGACTCTAACATTCATTTTCATACAAACAAGCTAAATAGTTTCCACGTTTCCAGTGTGAAAATGGCTAACCATCATCGAATCATCAAGATGATCCCTTTGTAGCTATACTTAAGATATGAACATCTAGTCAAAGCAGCAGAAATGTTAAGCTGTTCCAGTCTCCAATGATCTTATCTGATATGGAGACATTGTTCATACTGAGCATCAGACATTTATATGTATCTTGCCTGCCTCCGTACGTATGCAAACTATTCTGAGAGACTCATCTATTCCTAAAGACTCACCGCGAAAAATAGCCACATCAATAATTTGTGTAAAGCTGACCCTGCACTGTCCTTAAACTGATTCTATACTATAAAGAGCAGTGAGTTGTGTTAGTGACAAGCGAGACAGTAAGAAAACATTTGCCTTTTAAAAAGCTGGGAAAAAGCTGGTTCCTGAGAAACAGCTAACGAATTCACTCAAAGCTGTGTTACTGAGTTTTATTCCTAGTCACTGTCATTTGAAAGAAGTTTGTGGAAGAAATTGAGGCTGAATTAAAGCGCTCAAGCAGTTCGAGAAGAAGAAAACTTGGTAAAAATGGATCAAATCTGATGCTAAAGTTTAGGCTTTAGAGAGGTCAATGGTATAAAAAAAAAAATAGCCAGAAAAAATAACTGCAAATGTAAAATGGGATTAGTTCAAGACACATTTCTAAATATCTTGAATAATAATATATGATTATAACATATTATTATATATAATATTAATATATATATATATGTGTGTGTACTGAAAGTTTGCAAAAGTACTGAGCTTTCAAAAAAGTATGGAAGAAGAGTAACAAAAAGAAGGAGAAGTGGGATGGCGTAAACGCTTTCTCAAAAGAGAAAAAAAACGGGAACACGATCATGTGGATGCTGATTCAGCACCCAGACAGTAAAATGCAAAGACAAGCTCCCGCTTTTTTAAGGAGAGCTCGGACACACGCGTTATCACCAATTCCTGTGTGGTGATCCGCTTTATAAATAATGGATCCTTCTGTCTCCTTCGTCTTTTTTTAATTTATTTTTTTTAAACTCTCGAGGTGCTGATCTTGCAAATGTTTACACTCATGGACGGAAGACGAGGAGCTAAAGCAGAGAAAGGTATCAGGAGGCATGACGCAGAAGGAGGATGAGGAAGGAGAAACGATAGGCCGAGGCCACTGGGATGATGCAGAGAGCTGGAGTGAAGGATGCTGTAATCCATCCAACCCCCGACCTAAATAAAGACATGCAGGTTCCCAAAAAAAAAAGAAAAAAAGAAAAAAGACATAGCTGCCGTTTGGTTTCCACGGCGACAGGGCCAACGTGGGTCCCACCTCCTCTGCCGTCCCGGGCAGGAGGAGGAAACGTCGACTCCAAACGCCAATCGCCAATATTGGGGTAACCATAGTAACTACATTCCAACGCTCCATCACACAAAATGGGACGTCGGTAACATCTTCCCTTCCTCATCAGCACAGCTTGTGCTCCAACCAACTGTCCACCACTTGTAGCTATGGTAACCAAGGCCCACGTGTGAGTGTGTGTGTGTGTGTGTGTGTGTTCCAGTGTGCTCTCATGGATAAAAAAGCACAGTCCGGAAAGATTCATTTCTGGCAACTTGTTCTTTTTTTGTTTTGTTTTTTTCTCTCTGAAGATGACACTCTCCGCCAACTGAGTCCATCACTTCAAACTAAAAGGCCCCATTGTACAGAGTGACCCCAGAAGTGACCACAGCTTCTCAATCACAGCAATTCTGGACTTAATTGAACATCTGTGTCCGATTTTTTTTTTTAAACAAAAATTTCTTTTCTTTTTTTTTAAGTGAAAACATCTTTTTTTGCACTTTTATTATTTTTTATTTTTATTTTTATTTTTTTATTTTTTATTTTTTTTATTTATTTTTTTTAATTATTTTAAATTATTATTTTTGCAGTTTTAAACTATTTTGACCAACTATTTTTGATGGTTTCTGCATATAATTGTGTTAATCTTTTGTTATTTATTCTGTTATACTCTGTTGTCATGCTATCTAGAAAGTTCATGGCATCTGTGATGTTATTATTTAACATCCTGAAGCTCAATCAATGCCTTTAGGTTGAGCGGGAAACAAACAGAGAGAAAGGAGGAGGAACCCCAAACCACGTCTCCTGTCAATTACATGAGTAATATGAAATTCTGGGTATACCATGATTGCGGTGGCAGCTTTGATGATGAAGTAGTGAGAAAACCAGCCCGGTAACAACATAAGTGCCTCTGAGAAACAGCTACAGGACCCATTCTTTCAGATGTGATCAGATGTCTTTAACAGTGTCATGGGTTCTGGGATTTTAGTTTATTTTGGATTGTGTTTTAATTTGTTTGGTTTAATACAGTTTCTTTTTTGTGTGTGTATTTTGTGTTAGAGGCCTTTGGAGCTTATCCTAATCGGTCGTTTTTCTGCTCCTACCATCTTTTTTGTGTGTTTTTTTTAATTGTTTTTGTTCCTATGTTGCTCCCACAGTTCTCCATAATTCACCTCCTCATCATTTATGCTTTCAGTTTTTTTTCTCAGTCATTGTCAGGTCTTCATAGTCGTCAACACCATTTCTTCCTCTCATTCATTCTCTCTGTAATCTAGCTCTTTTAAATTGTCCGTAGTGTGTTTTGCCTTTCTCTGTAGGTTTTTTGTTTAGTTTTTTGGGGTTGTGGCTCGGCCACACTTTCAGTTCAGTTCTGTGCTTACATCTATCTTGAGTTCATCGCATCGCTTCCTGCCATCGTCCACGTCTGCGCAGGGGTCCGGCTCTTCACCATGCTCACCGCACACTATGACTAAACGGATGTCATAGACGTGGTCTTGCCCTGCTCTCTTTTGAAAGTGCCATCGTAGACGATAAACTACTTAAGAGGGAATGCAAGTTCCCATCGGTGAATCCTGCTTTCCTCAGACAGAGGTTCTTATTTTTTCAAGGTTTCTTAGCAGCTAGATTCTCATATGTGAGTAAAGACCACAGAATCAGTTGAGAAATTCTTATCAGATTCTAATAAAACATATTTTAATAAAGGTAAAAGTTAAAGTCAGTAATCTAGATAACAATGTGAACCACAAATAACATTAAAAAGTTGTTTAAAAAAAGAAAATCAATTCAAGCATAGATCAGAGTCAATGAAATCAATGAACACATTATACATATAAATCTTTTTACAGAATTAAAGCTCAGAAATGACGGTGTCCTCAGGTTAGCTGGTGGGCAGCTTGCACCCGGAGACATAAAAAGAGCTTATTTCCTGCACGCGCTGATGTAAAGCGGCTGAGTTTGCAGCCTGCTGCAAAAACAAAGGCCAGGCTGCACAACCGTAAGGCTTGCTCAACGTCTCGTCTGTCACTGCGAGAAGATTTTCCGATTGTAACCGTCATCTATTTGCAACCTTTGTCAGAAGGTCTCAGCACACCTTCTCTCTCATCCTCACCATATCCTGTTATGGTTGGAAATGCAAACTCTACACGAGGCTAAATGTAACATACAAGTCAGAACTTTATCCCAGAATTCAAGATAGTTTTTTTTTTTTTTTTTTTTTTTTACGTCTCTCATATTTCAAAAAGTGAAAAGTGAGTGGAATCAAAAAAGTTGCTGGAGTCTTTTAACAGTCACAAATCACAGGACTTGCATCTATTTCAAACTTTTAGATGGAAAATGTTTTTGTAAATGGAACGCAGACATATAAAAGCCAAAAAACGCTGAGCTGTTTTTGTGTTGGTGCAAATGTTGGTGGCACTACTTAAGGAAACCTCACCAGAAACCTTTCTTTAAATCCACTTCACTCCAAACTTTTGTTTTTCGGCAGATCATTCTTTTGCTTTTCCGCCCATTTGCTGTTTTTTTTTTAAGCTCATTCGACCAGCAAAGCTGCAAAAACGCACTTTTGTGCGCTTACAGTGAGCTTCAGTGATACAAACCTGCCCTGAAAGACGCAGGATTTCCTATAAGTGAGTGCATCTACGTTATCTGTGTGTGTGGACCGGCTGCACACAGATGACTTTATCTGTTCACAGTGGGGAGTGGGTATTGTCTCTGTCTGCCTTTGCCTAAGTCCGCCTTTTGATCTCTTTATGAATTACCGCAGAGGTGTATATGTATGTGTGTGTTTGTGAGTGTGTGCGTGTGTGTGGATCCTTCTTCTGCCCGGGGTCTTATCAGCAGTGGGTAATGGGGTACGTCTGTGCACTAATAAAGCCCTTCTTCACACAGGTTTTTCTGTGGAAATGGACTAGCATCCATCCATCCATCCATTTATCCATCCATCCAGATTCTTAATCTGTTTTTGCTTTTATGTACAGGAAGGCGTGAAGGAGAGCCACCGCATCCCTCCATCTCCGGTCGTCCACGTCCGGGGGCTGTGTGACGCCGTGGTGGAGGCCGACCTAGTGGAGGCACTTGACAAGTTTGGCAGCATCTGGTATAAATCAACTTTTTAAACTGTCTCTTTTAGTCCGTTCTGAGACAGCCATCATGTCTACAACAAATCACAATCTAAAGTACTGGTTACTGAGATTGATGGTTGTTGTCACTCCGTTTAAGTAGAGGATTTGAGCAATTTAGGTACAATATGTGTGTGTGCCTTACCTGTTCATGTGTTTCTGCTGGTCATTGCAATAATCAGACTCGAACTCAGTAACCACAATGAGCCACTTCCTGTAACTAATCTAGTTTTACCTCAAGATATTGCTACTTCCTCTAGTCTATTGTCATTTGACTTTGTCTGCTGCAAAGATTCTAAGAGGACATAATCTATTAAGCATTTTTTGTATAGAAAATGTGAATTGGCAAGTACAGTTCATGTCAGATTTTTGAAGCTGGAACCTTTTAATGGTGCGACGCAGAAAGAGAAGAACGGCCAGGTGGGTGTGGAGGCAGGAATAAAGCGTATATCATCAGCTGTATGCCGTTAGTGAATAAAGAGGAGTGCTGTGCAAACAGCAGACACAATGCACTGATAAAGGCAGGTGGTTTCAATTCAATTCAATTCAATCTTATTTATATAGCGCCACGTCACAACAACAGTTGTCTCGCAGCGTTTTCCAAACAGAGCAGGTCAGACCCTACTCTGAAGTTAATTGCAGAAACCCAACAATTCCCACCATGAGCAAAAAGCACTAGGCGACACAGGCAAGGAAAAACTTCCTTTTAACAGGCAGAAACCTCGAGCGGAACCATGGCTCAGGGTGGGCGGTTTCTCTGGGCTTTGGGACCAAATCTGAACATAGATGGCTCATTACTTGACGTCCTGTGGGACACAGCTACAGTTAGTGGTGGTAAGATTGTAATAAACCTACAATATAATACGTTCCCTCACAATTTCAACCCCCTTTTTCAGGGCCGATTTTATTGTTTTTGTTGGCGTTTGTGTGAGGCCTCACAACTTTCCACCCCCTGTCTGTCTCTGTTGGCAGCTATGTGATGATGATGCCCTTCAAGCGTCAAGCCCTGGTGGAGTTCGACAGCGTGGAGAGCGCCGAGCGCTGCGTCACGCGCGGAGCCCACGAGGCCGTCTACATCGCCGAGCAGCAGGCCTTCTTCAACTTCTCCACCAGCCAGAGGATCACCAGGCCGACCAACGCAGACGACCCCACCAGCAAAAACAAGGTCCTGCTGCTGTCCATCCAGAATCCGCTCTACCCCATCACCACCGTGAGTGCAGCCTCGCTTCCTGTTTACCTCGTCGTGGTTTAAACTGTTTTTCATCTATGTTTTTACTGAAAATACCTGAATGTCCTCACTTTTTCTTCTTATTTCCCTTCAAATGAATCTTATTTTAATGCTTTTGGACCTGGGCAATGCTAATCACCAGGGGAACCGGCTCCTTTCTGTGTGTGTATGGGTCATTTTCGGGTGCTCCAGGTTCCCACCGTCCAAAAACAGTCATGTTAGGTTAATTGGACACTCCAAATTGCCCCTGGGAATGAATTAAAGTGTGTGGCTGTTTGTCTCTGTGTGTGATGGACTGGCGACCAGTCCAGGTTGCAACCCCCCCAACCCCCAGCCACACACACACACAACCCCAAGACACACACACACACAACCCCCATTGGGCCCCAATTGGCAGATAAAAGCACAAAGGCATTTTGACGATAATATTTCATTTTTATATTTGAAATAAACATTTTAGAACATCTGCTGAACAAAAGATAGTTAGAGTCCTAATTAATTGGAAAAGGTTTGTTTTGAAAATTTGTTAAATTAATGATTAATTTTAGATAAAGATGTCTTTATTTTACATACTGTCAATAGTCAGTTTAATCCCAGATTATACACTGGATATTTGTGCAACAATCAATTCAAAGCTTGATTTTTAAAACATTTACATCTAAAATAGCTGTTATAACATAACCACATTTCCTTTTGACAGCATTCTTTAAATAGTGATTAATATCATCAACCCTAGTGGACAAATGTTGGTTTTAAAATGTCAATCAAGAGGTTATTCTAGGAAATAACTAACTTCCTGGAGCAACCTTAAGGGTCATAGGTCGCTTAAACCCTATCCCAGTGGTCACTGGGCGAGAGGCAGCTAGTCCCCTGACAGGTGACCAGGCCATCACAGAGACACATGGAAACGAAAAACCACAGGCGCACACGTTCACTCCCACGGGTAGTTTGGATCTCCACTTAACTCAACTGTATGTTTTTGGACTCTGGGGGGAAGCTGAAGTCCTGGGAGAGAACCCACTCAGACATAGGGAGGCCCCCGAGGCCCCCGGGGGATTGAAACTGGGAGTTCTTTTGTTGTTTTTTTGTAATATAATAATTTTATTTACCAGTTACTCACACAAACTGATTGGATGTGATGAACAAAGTGATGTTTTTTTTCACTTTTACTTGAAATAGCTAAATGAACCCAACATTAAATAAGATAATTTGAAGGTTGGGTTTGATTTGATTGAGGTTTCAGTCTGTGCTAAGGCCTTTGACGGTGTCCTCTCTCTGTTTCTCGCAGGACGTGTTGTACACAGTCTGTAACCCCGTGGGGAACGTCCTGCGCATCGTCATCTTCAAACGCAACGGCATCCAGGCCATGGTGGAATATCCTGACCGCGTGTCCGTCATTGGGCGTTTCTGTGCTTTGAAAGATTCGGTTAAAACATGTCGAATCAGTTTTTTTTAGTCTTACGCTAAATCATCTTTTACTGCTTCACTGACTATTTAATTTTGTTTTCGCTCCCGCTAATGCCACATGACGATTGGAAGGGATGGTAGGAGCAGGACTGTTCGGGGAGGTTCAAGCTGACGGGACATGTTTTGTCATAGTCAGATCGAGTTAAGATTACTAAAGCTGACAGCCAGCTCCCCCTGAGGTTTGCGTAGGTCCACTTTTGCTGCTCTCTGATTGCCTGCTTGCTGGTTTTCCTGCCGAGTCATCCTTAACAAGCTTGTTAACGTTTGAGTCCGTGGAGGACGCTCAGAAGGCCAAACTGGCTCTGAACGGTGCCGATATTTACTCTGGCTGCTGCACACTTAAGATCGAGTATGCTCGGGTAAACACACACGCACATACACACACATCCGGCCGTCACACACTCAGGGGCACGCACACATATGCACTCTCACCCTCATGCCCACGCACACACACCCACCCAGAGGTGCTGTGCTCTGTCGCCCCCTGCAGCCCAACAGACTGAACGTCGTCCGCAACGACAACACCAGCTGGGATTACACCAAACCCTTCCTCCTGCACCGAGGTAGGACACACACACACACACACGCTGCTGATCTGACCGCCGCACTCACTGAGCTGCAAAAACGGGAGATATTTAGTGGTTTATGTAACTCAACAGCTTGAGTTACTTGTTTAGAATACTGTACGTAAAATACAGACTAATGGGTCGAGGTTTATGAATGGATGGCTTGGATTTTTGTGTAGTCTTGTATATTTTAACTATCACTTAACAATCCTATGGATCCAACAAAACACCAGATATGGAAAAAGTTCTGTTACATAACAAATCTAAAGATCCTAAAGTTCTCCAAACATCACTCCCTAAATGCAGTGACTGTCAAATGTAATCCGATACATGAGTCTATTTCCATGATGATGTGGTGATGACAAAGGGAAAACTCTAATTCTGGCTGTTTTCAACAGACATGATAAGAATATAAATGAAGTGAAATGAACAGTTCTCTGTAATTCCCTAAGAAAGGCTAAATGATAGCTGACAGGGTCTGCTGGCAGAGTATGATTCTGTAAAAAGGTGCTTGTCCCAGCTGGATACCCAAATCGTAAATCCTGATGAAACGCTGACAGGGTTGTCAACCTCAGTTTAGAGAAAAGGCCATGAATTTGCTTAATGGCACGAAAAGCTGAGGAAAAGGGAAACTTCCGGCACAACAGAATCTGCTTTGCGGTTTCCATATTTATCACAGAAACATACTCCTTTCTCCATAGCCAGCAGCAGCATTCATGTAGACATAAAGTGTTCTAGATATTTCTTCCCTCCACATAATTAATCTGAGATCAGTGCTGTTGGAATGCCGCTGTCTTATCTCTCTTATCTCTCTTATCATTCAAAGGAGATAAGTAAAAAAAATTTTAATGGCTTGAGAAATTGTGAGTAACGTGAGAACACCAGGAAGTTAAATGCATGAACTTTGCGTGGAATGTTTCAGACTTGACTGCCGTGTGCTGTGAAGCAAATTCAGGTTAAACTATCTTGCGAACTTTCTCAGTCCACAGCAGTTCACACGGCCTGATGAAGTAGCTTGTTTGGTTATTTTTGTATCAAGGTTTTTTCAGGTTTGTAGAAAAAATATATTAAAATGTCTTTATAATCCTCATCCTGATAAAAAAAATGAATCATAGAGATAACGTGGAGACATTTTGAAAAAAAAATACCTGCGGTCAATTTGGATGACTCCAGAATATTTATGGATTCAAATATTGTCAGACCAAAGAGCCATTACAAGAAAAAAACAATCTGACCGTTTCATTGTCCAACACCAGTTTAACCAACTGACTATATGATTGCCCAGCAAAAAGCATGGAAAGGCCAGGTACAAAATCTAATATAAACCCTGAAAAACAAAAAGACTAATTGCCAAAAGCAAAAGTACGACCAAATAAAGAGAAATAAACAATTAGGAGAATAAGAACTTGGAAATCTATGAAAGAGTAATGGAGAACTTATGAAGCAAATGGACAGACAGAACTTAGAGACAGATCTGACAGACTGAGAGTGAGGGGCTTAGAGAAAGAGGAGGTTGATCAGTGACCCCAGACAGCTGGAGCTAAGGAGCACCGGTGAGGTGAATAGCTTTAAAGAGCAGAATGGAAAAGTACCCAGGAGATTACGGTTAAAAATGACACGTGGAGTTTATGGCTGTAAGTGGTGCCGGTGGTCAGTTAAGGTCCCGGGAAATCTGAGAGTCCACAGATTTTCCAGATGTGCTCAGATCTAAGAGAGACTAAGGGTCAGACCTGGATCATGCAGATATGAAATATCCCATTTGAATTAAGAAGGTCTTAGGGGTTTAAAAATATTACTTATATTAGTCTGTCTGGATTAACTTACACTACCTGCTGCCTCCTTTAAACTGGCAGAAAAGAACTGTGTCATGGCTAAAAGACAACAATAAACTAAACCATTTCCTTTCCCCCCCAAAAAAACGTTTTTCAGGTGAAAAATTTGTTGAATCTGGTGCTCTCTGGTTGAGTAAAGCCATGATATGAAATGGTCCCCCTTCTGATTTGGAGTTGTCATTTAACAGAACAGTGTGGGTTTTGCCCAGACCCTGATTTGACTGGACATCACCCTGAAACGGTCATGCTTTAATTCTGTGTGTTTTGGAACATAGCTCTCTTTTTGGGCTGATGGCTTTATGGGATGAGTGTTGACTTTGTCCCAGTCTAGCATGACATTACTGTTTAGTTCATTACTGTTTAGTTCATCATCTTTCCCCTCACCCTCAACCGGCCGAGGCAGATGGCCTGCTCGAGGTTTCTGCCTGTTAAAAGGAAGTTTTTCCTTGCCTGTGTCGCCTAGTGCTTGCTCATGGTGGGAATTGTTGGGTTTCTGGTTGTCTTATTGATATAGCGTCTCACAGCGCTTTCCAAACAGAGCTCTGTTTGGAAAGCGCTGTGAGACAACTGTTGTTGTGATGTGGCGCTATATAAATAAAATTGAATTGAATTGAATTGAGTTGCGGTCAGAGTTTGTCAGGGTTTAGTCTCAGATGATCAGTAATTTAATAAATGTATAGTTTACGTCGAGTTGGACAACTGTTAAGTCCGGTGTGTGACTTTGCCAAGGGGAACTACACTTTCCTGTGGTCTAACTTACTTGAATTTGTTTTCTTTTGTCGTCTGTTACAGAACGGGGCAAGGGAAGGCAGCGTCAAGCCATCTTAGGAGAGCATCCGTCCAATGGCTATGGTCTGTCTGCATCGCCTTCTGCTCGTCCTGACGTCCTGTTCCCCGTTTCCTCGCTCTGACCCCACTGCATTTTGTTTTTGTTTGTTTGTTTGTGTGTTTGTGTGTGGGTGTGCAGGTCCACACTGCCCCCTGCTGCCTCTGCCTGCTAACAGCAGGTACAGGAGGATGGGGGAGCAGGTCCAGGACATGGTCTCCTACCCACCTCTCCTACCAAAGACCTTTCCGTCCACTTCTTCTTCCTCCCTTCTGGGCTCCAGTTCGGTCGCTATGGTGAGCGGCTTACATCCCACCAAGATGAACTGCTGTCGGATCTTCAATCTCTTTTGTCTCTATGGCAATGTGGAGAAGGTGTGTGTGTGTTTTCATCCCTTCAGATTTGATGGTATCACTAAAGAGGGCTTGTAGAACTGTAGAGTAATGCCTCTAAATCTTGACAATGTGTTAACATCATCCATTGATCTACTTTTGATTTGGTTTGTAAGTGTTATCAATTTCCTTCTCTCAGCTTTCCTTTTTCACCTGAAAATAGTTAGAAAAATAAAGGCCAAATTTAGACATGAAGCATTGTGCCATATTCTCTTAAAAGCAGAGATTCTGCTCTGAATGTGCAGGAAATCTGATTGAGGACCATATCAATTATTTCAATTAATTCATTTTCACATTTATGAAATATGTTGAATAATTTAACACATGGAGTGTCTGATTTATCTGTCAAATTACACATTTCTTTCTTTAAAAAAAAAGACATTCTTAACCTCATAAAACTGCATTTCACTCTTTGAGCTGTTTCAGTGACGGTGTAACTGGAAAACCCTCTGATTGGTCGTAGGTTAAGTTCATGAAGAGTGTTCCTGGCACAGCCTTGGTGGAAATGGGCGATGAGTATGCCGTGGACCGAGCCGTGACTCACCTCAACAGCATCAAAGTGTTCGGCAAGAAACTCAACGTCTGGTGAGCGCCGACTCATCCTCAAAGCTCAGGACAATGTCGGGGCTTTGGCCCCGGAGTTGGGCGGAATCAGACAGTCGGTGTTAATTATACTAAAGTCAAACAGCTAAAGTTACATCCAATATTCATGGCCATCAAAAGACAGCGCCATTCTTCCTTTCTCTTGTTAGAATTCTTGTAATACTGGACTGAATTTTCCGGAAAGACCTGGCAACGTAAAAAAAAAAATATATATATATATATATATATGATGATACAAACAGATGCATCTGCTTCCTCTCCAACTCTTTCAAGAAAGAGAAAATCTGAACGATCTTGTTAGAATTCTTGTAATACTGGAATGAATTTTCCGGAAAGACCTGGCAACGTAAAAAAAAATATATAGGCTATGTATATATATATATATGATGATACAAACAGATGCATGTGGTGGGAAAGAGCTCCGTCACAAATTTTGCTCGGCGCAATTGGTCAAATCCAACAGTCTTCCAGAAACTGGACATCTGCTTCCTCTCCAACTCTTTCAAGAAAGAGAAAATCAGAACGATCTTGTTAGAATTCTTGTAATACTGGACTGAATTTTCCAGAAAGACCTGGCAACCTAAAAAAACAAAAAAAAAAAAATATATATATATATATATATGTTGGTACAAACAGATGCATGTGGTAGGAAAGAGCTCCATCACAAATTTAGTGTCGGCTGGATTGGTCAAATCCAACAGTCTTCCAGAAACTGGACATCTGCTTCCTGTCCAACTCTTTCAAGAAAGACAAATCAGAAAGCTGGGTCAAGGTTTACTTTACTCTGTGTGTTCTTATCCAACGCGACACACAAACAACTAAAAAATGAGTCCCTCGATGCTTTCACAGCTTAAAAACTGGGCACCTTTCTGATATTCTTAGAACAGATCTGGCAGAATACGAACTTAAAAAAAAAAAGGGAAGGATTCAGGGAGAGAGGAGTCGCATGATCTTTCGGAGTGGATCTGGGCCAAGCTTCAGCCCATTCCACTCAGACAAAGCAGTGTTAATGGGCTTTCCTTTTTTTTGCCTTTTGCCTGCGTCCTTCCGTCCTCAGCGTGTCCAAGCAGCAGGCGGTCATCCCCAGCCAGGTGTTTGAGCTGGCCGACGGCAGCAGCAGCTACCAGGACTTCAGCCTGACCCGAAACAACCGCTTCAGCAGCGCGCACAGCAGCCGGAACATCATCCAGCCCCCGGCGGCCGTGCTGCACTTCTACAACGCGCCGCCCACCCTCAGCCAACACCAGCTGCTCAAGGTGGGCTCCCCCCCCGCCCCGGGGAGTCCCTCTTTAGTGAGAGGGATGACTCCCGACAAAGAAAAACCTCTTTTCTGAACGAAAAAAACAAAGAGAGTAAGTCATTTCCTCGCCTCTTTTTTCCCGTCCGCAGCTTTGCTCTGAACACAACGTTCCCAGCTTCACCAAGTTCAAGGTCTTTGACGCCAAACGTGAGTTTGCCGGTCACACACGGCGGTCAGCAAACGCATCTCCGCCCAGATATCCATCCACCTTTCTTTATCTGCCCCTGCAGCTAGCTCAAAGACACTTTCCGGACTGTTGGAGTTCGAAAACAAAACCGAAGCAGTCGAGGCTCTGACCGTCCTGAACCACCATCAGATCAGAATACCCAGTAAGTGCCTTTATTATGAAAATGGATTTCCATGAAGAACCAGTCATAATGCGGGTGGCTTTAATTCAAAAGTCTAATACGTGTAGCCATGAGTCAAAAGAGAAAACGGTTTGTTGTCAAGTATGTTTCTGCCAGATCAATTGTGTAAAGCGGGCCTGTTTACCTCTGACCAACAGGCAGCTCCAACCCCTTCACCCTGAAGCTCTGCTTCTCCACTTCTTCCCATTTGTGATCCAGCGATAAGACGGCTACGGCGCAGACAAAGATCCTCCTGGAAAAACAGCACGGGAGCCCATTTCTTCATTCTGAAAACGGCAGGAAGGCTATCGAGTGGGGGGAAAAAAAATTGCATGGTTTTTGAAGAGGCAGTATGACCAAAAGAAGCAATAGGATGGCATTGCAGTAAAATGGCAACTTAATGGGGTTTTCTGTCCGAATTTGTTCCTTTAGATTTACATTTTATAGCACAACCTGTTGTAGACAGCGTGAGATACTTCTAACTGTTAAAAATATGTAAGGGTTCTAATCAGTTCGTACATGTAAATGTGGATCAGAGGAATGCTGATGGGGAGCTACTCGATAATTATATTTATGAGACGGTGTTTTAAATGCAGCCCTGGGGCAGCAGAGTATCGGCCGAGGTGTTCAAAGTGACAAACAGAGCTAATGATATGGAAAAAAAATAAAAGGCATAATCAAACCAATTATTTCACGGTGGTCACATTTAAAAGCACAAATAGACGCATCCACACCCCCAAACACTGATACTATAAAAAAAAAATCCAGATAAATCTAAATAAATGTGGAGTATGTTTCTACAGAAGCATCCACCTCCACATGTAAAACTATTTTGGTATGCTTCATTACAAGGTTTGGTAGCTTTGTAAATACTGGGATTGAAAACATGTTTTAACATATTAAACAGGAATAATTAAGTAAAATAGAATTAAAAAGAATTAGTTTCCCTTATTAAACATGTAAGATTGGATTTTTGATCGACAGAGTGAAATATAACTTGTTAAATTGAAGAAATATCAATAGAGAGGCTTCCCTGGATATTTAGATTAAGACTGAGAAAGGAAGGAATAAATGGTTTGTTGCTTTGACACCACAGATGTTACAATGAATAAAGATGACATTCTGTATATACTGTAGTCTTATTTAGTTTATTTATATTAGTTTGTCAAACATCATAAGCAGTTGCTTCTTCCTGAGATGTATGGGATGAAAGAGGAGTGCCAAAAAAATGAGGAGACATAAGAAAATGTGAAAATTTGAAGGAATTTGAATAAAGTAATGAATTAATTATGGAATATTGTATTGCTCATTTACATATTGTACTGAATTTATTCATGTTGTTTAATTTTTCTGTATTTCCTCATATTTATTTTTGGATTGGGTTTTATTTTTTTATTACACTGCAGTTGTAGTTAAGTATTAGTTTAGTTGAGTTTGTGACTGCTGTAGCTTTTATGAGCCGGTTTTTCATTTTCCTCTCTCTGCATTGCTTTTGCTTACTTTCTTTGCTACTTCTAAAAAATAGTGTGTGTGGAACTAATCATTAAACTACTCCTTCTACAAAACCAACACAAATCAATTTTTATCTCCACATGAGAAATACCAAGATCTAGACGGCGTATACAACGAGACACGATGTTTGGCAGTGGTAGCGGTCCTTTAGGAACAGGATTAGCTTCCCTCTTGTGTGCAGCCTCACTTTCATAGGAGTCAACCTCTAAGCAAATGCTTCTTCGAGCATGTTTTGAATTGACACAATTGCGTAACATCGTCCACTATTGCCAGTGTCAGACTGACTGCATGGGAATTTAAATGATAGGTATATCCTATCGGTTAGTTTTGCTGATTTACAAGCTTGAGTTAGCCCGTTGATAACCAAATTATGCTGTCAGTGTCTAAGAAGGGAAAACTTTTGATATAACGATGGCTGACCTAATGGCAAAAGCAAGGGAGAAAAGCAGTAAAAATAAATTGATAAAAAGGGAAAAGCAATACAGAAAAGGTAAAGGAAAGACTACTTGAAAATGGCTAAAGTAATAATGATATAGCAAAAACAATGTGGAAAAAAATGACAATCGTTTATTTTATATCTCCATTTCATTTTCATAATCCAACATTTATTGACTTTCATTCATTTCTCTTTACAAGTCCCCCATTATTTGCTCACGCTATTACATATTCATCATTTTTTTTTATTGCACTTCAATAACTCCTTTGAACATTTCATTAGAATGCACAGTTGTGATTCCACTGTTCCCCATCATTTTCCTTTGACTCCACCATAGCGGCTTTTATGTACAAGCAGGAAGCTGTGACTATTTTGTTGGTAAAACACTGATTTATATAGATGCGTTTCATTTTAAATTGCTGCATTATGTGTGACCTCTTTTCTTTTCATGGGTGACGTCTGAGAAGAAAATTATGATGTAGTTTTCCTCAAAATGAACAGTTTTATTAAAATGAATATCTACATTGTGTCAAAAATAAAGAGTTAGTCAAGAAAAATACATTTTAGACTGTGATGTATTTGTTATGGGAGCTAGGATGAATAAAAAAGATGGGTGGGTTAACTGGTAATAGCTGGTTTAGAGAATTAAGACAAGTTTTTGCTGTGGGCATGACATGAAATAATTTATTTTTTGTAGAGTAGTAATGCAATTAAAGAGCAGTAACCACTAGCATGCCAAAAATGTCAACCTTAACATAGACAGATATAAAGTCCACACAAAGGTTCTCATTGTCTGACTTGGGGAGAGCTTTGACTGGTTTGGCTAAAGTGACAACAGCAGGGCCAAAATAATCGATAAACTAAATGCTTTTTGCCGGGTTTTCTGACTGAGTACATCAGAGACTTTGAGTTTGTTCAGAAGAACATAATAATTTTTGAATACACAACAGTTTGTGTACTGTGAAATTACAAAATGACAGTTGACGTCAGTTTAAGGTTTGTGGTATGTGTCATTCTGAATTATGTCCGGCAGCCAGTCAGCCAGCTCTGTTTTACAGAAGCCTGTTCGACCAGACTGTCATCAGATAGCACTTCGGCATACCGACATCCAGGTGTTAAGACCGATTCGTGTCTGAGCAAAACAGGTAGCAGACGCCCTTTGACACAAATGGAAAATGAACTCAGAACCTCACCGTAAACAACTGATTTCTCTGTCTGTCCACCAGTCTGAAAATGAGGTGAAATCCCATCGCATCTAAAGGGTGGATGGTTTTTATTAACAGGCAAGGATTGTTTCTCCATGAATGGTAAGAGGCAACAATGGATCATTTGAGAGTCAAATTAATTTTCCACAGAAATCACAAGGTTTCAAGTCAGACATTCAGGCTGAATTAACTCTTTTATGGAGTGTACAGACTCCACAGGCTATATGGAACAATATCACTATTTTCAAAAACGTTTGCAACCTTTTTTAAATGAAGAAATTATGTTAAAAGATAAAAATCAAAGACCTGTTTAACCGTTTTCAACAAGTTACGAAACACAATTCCTTAAAAACCAGTCCTGTCATACTGACACATAACCAAGACAGTGCACGTTTTCTAAAGGTGAGGAGGGGGGATAAACAAAGCTACAGAGACCATTTACGTACCGGATGTGCAATATCTGAATATGACGAGCTTATTTAAATCAAAGATGCTCGCAGGAAAGGTTCGCGAGAGGGAGGTGATTGGAGGGGGCGGGGCTTATTTCAGTATTTTAAGACAACGCGGGGCCGCTGTGGGTCCTGTGACGTCACGGCAGGCTGCCGCTATCAGCAGGTCAAGAAAGATGGCGGCGGAGGAGAGCAGGTTGAAGCAGCGGAATCACAAAAACAGCATCTTCCGAGAAGGTAGACGAGCCCACGCTCTCACAGAGCCGCGTTACTCACGCGACACGTCACGGTAGAGATTTCTGCGTCCGTATTTTCCACAGTCGTGTATTTATATTCTATTTATCTCAGGAATGTTATGAAATTACTGGAGGCAGCGGTCCGCCTCGTCGAATAATCTCATCACCCATCGCTTCGCACCCTGCTGAGAAACGATAACTCCTTTACGCGAAAGGGGAAGAAATGTTTCTGTAAACATGACACTAAATAAGCGGTGAATAAATACGGCATGTAATTGAGTCGCCTCGCCTTAACGCTTGAATGTAGCGTCGGACAGCAGCCGGTGCTGGGGGCTCTGTGAACCCGCCCAGCTGCCCTCACCTGCGGCTCACTTTGTTGTTAGCGCCCCTGCTAGCATAGCCCTTTTCCTGCTAATTTTTTCCCTTTTCCCAAGAAACTGTTGGTAAAAACTGCCAAGCCACGGTTTCAGGCAGAGGTTTCAAATGTCTGTACGCCGTTCCGGTTCGGTTCGAATAGCAGGCGGACGGAAATTGCTGTGTAATTTCAGTCGGATGAATAAATATCCTTGATGATAACGGGATCATTTCCCAACGCGTACTTCGATATACCGATATAGCTTTCTGTTTTTTTTGCTAGCTTTGCGCGCTCATAACATAAACGCATACATTAATTAAAAATAAAACTTATGTTAATAATTGCTTGTGTATAGGCTGACATGTCTGACCAATGCTGAGTGATTTGACGAAGCTAAATCGCTTAGATGTGACAATGAGTTTGGGATCCATTAGATGTATTTCTTGCCGGAAATCACATTCCAAGTGTCGTTCTAAGGGCGTGAAGTCACGGTTGTATTGTGAGGCTTTTCGGGGAAGCCTGCGGTGGGTTGGATGTGCTGTCTCAGCTCAGTGACTGGCTGACGGGTAGATCCCAGTAATCTGCTCACTGGTTGACGCTCAGCTGGTTTGACCAGGGATCCGGCAGTTCTCCGGCCTAAATAACTACAGCAAGGCAGGGCTCTGGAGTTGGATAACTTTTATTGTTCTTTAGGAGCGGGAAAAGTTGGCAACACATTCATAGGATTCAGCTGAGTGCACCTGCCTTAACGTGGGACTCACGTGTTGAATGGTTTTATGTGTGGCGAAATGCGCACCAACAACTCTGTGAAGGAAATAATGCACCAGGAAAAGGCATAGATAGTTCCTGTAATACGAAAAAGACAGCCTCATCTACACGTGAAATCACAAGTTGAGCATGCATTTGAAGTGGGTCACATTTCAGTGTTGATAGCTTTGCCTTCCGGGCCTTTTATGGCTAAATTACTGGAGGAATCTTCTTTGGTTTTGTCACGGCATCAAATGGATTAGCTTGGCTTATGCAGTTTCTGACTGTCATGCTGGATATTCATGTGATCAAGCATCTTCAGTTTTTTTTCACATATGCCTGTAAAAAATACTGGACGTTTTGTTGTCAGATTTCTGTTTTTCCCCCCTTTTTATACTTATAAAAACCTTAAACTGATATCTGATCAGGCATTTAACGTTTACTACTGCTACACTAAATGGGATGCAGTCATTTAGCTGGTTGTTGGGTCACGGATCCAGAGGAGGAACTCAAACATTTCTCGTCCTAGTCCCATTCCCCAGCTAGCTCTGCCCTCGGGTCTCCTCCACGCCTGAAAAGCATGAAGTCATCCCAAACCACCACAGCTGGCTGAAAAGGAGGGGCGGGATGCCCACGCTTCCTCAGTTCTCTAGTATCTGCAGTCAAGTTGTTTAGGTCGCTACCCAAATCTTACTGTAGGGTGAGCATTGGAATGCCATCATTGCTTCAAATGAAGTCTCCATCTCTCTGACTTTGTTGTTCCAGCTTGCCATCACTTGTGCAAAAGATGGAGCCACTTGAAATCCTCAACAATAGTCAAAGAGCAGTAGAAGGAGCCCTCCGACTTGAGAAGTGTGGCTTTGGATTTGAATGGACCGACGTTCATTTTGCCCTCTTCGCATTCGGTTTTGCGGTGTTCCAGAGTCATAATTCAGCCTGTGTTTTCACTGTTCTGCTGCCAAACACAATACGTTTAGATTGCATAGTGAGAACACAGCTATCTGAGCACTTTTTTTCCCCGTCTTAATCCACTTTCTGTTGTCGAAGTAATCTGATATTTTGCCTGATTGCATAACGGGAAGGTTGGGCTGGCTTTGTGCTATGTTTCTATGTGCTGGGGAAGTCATTTCCCCCAGGCAACGCATGTCCTGTGCGGAGACCTGGAACACTGAACCAACTGCATCGCTTGTCTCTTCAAAAGCCCCGGCTAACGCTGGCATAACACAAAGGCCTTCATAAATAATGTATGTCAGCCTTTACGTTACTTCCATCTTTCCTGTGACTATTTTTTTTCTCTGTTGTGGCCCTGACTGCAGAACACCCACATGACCTTGCTGTGTTCGCAGCCATGACACTCCAGGGCCTTCCAGGCTGTTCCGGGCTGATCCTCTGGCTTAATATCACGTCTGATGGCAACCTTTGCATTAGATCCATCACGGAAGTTCGGATTCTGATTGTTTTTTTTGTTTTATTTTTTTAACTTTCTGGTGAAATTTTGGCATTAGGAGCATAACTGCTGTGGATGGGTGAGGGGTGGGCTGAAAGTGACTCTCTGACCTAGTGTATTTACTGTAAACTAGTTGGTTCTGCAGTCCATTAATGGCCATGGCTTCAGCTAAGCTTTCCTCTTGGCTGCGTTCTGTGAGGCTTCACTAACGTCGGTCGAAAGATCCAGTCTGACTGTGGAATGTTCAAACTGCTAGTTTTCTTATTTATTCATAGTTAAATGGAGAAATGACTCATTTCGATCATATTTACAACTTTTCTCTTTGACATTTGGAGTTGAATATAAGAAAGGGCAGGGGACAAAAGGGGGGGGGGGGTGGTATGTTGTACAGTGTTTTTCACATCGTGCTTAAGTAACGTTACATTTCTATTTTATAATGGCCTGTGTGAGATGTTTGACCTGTCCAGTGTACTGCCTCTGGCCCCATAACAGCTGGGAGGTGAATTGGGGGAAAAAGCAGGTTTAAATGTATTTATTTTTTGATTGATCATCTTTATACCTCAAACTGTGGGCTGTTGAAATGATCGAACTTTTGAGTTCTATTATCTTTTTTTTATTTTCAGATATTTCATTATGCATTTGTTTGACCCCTTTCAGTTATCAAACTTTAATTGAGAACCAGGAAGGCCAACTTTCTGGACAGTTGATAGGACAAGATAAAGAGGCCAACATGTACCACGACACCAGGCCTGTGAAAAGCCGTCTCCTGTTACGGATCACAATAGAAACTCGGCTTAAACTGAAGAGCGATGGCTTTTGAAAAGACGCACGGGTAGACTCAGAATAGACTCCAGGATATGACAAGGATTCCAAACTGATCCTGATGTGGGCCCCCCCTCCATCACCTGGTTCAAACCTGGAGCTCTGTAACACTCCAGTGGATTTGTGATTGATGTATGTGGACCTAAATACTCATTGAGGTCTGTGCATTGGCCTGATTGCTACATTTCTGGATTCAGATGCACATGCAGCTTTGGCCCATTTTTCATGACTGGACGAACTGTCGTTGCAGAACCCCAAACTGTCCTCAGTGGGATTTAGTGGGCCATTGG